ATCTTTTCCTTGCATGGCTCTAGTGGTGGAAATGCTGCACGGTTGGCTGCCCCATTTAAGGAAGAGATATCAGCTTTGCTGAGTATTTAGACTCGTAATTCATTTCTAGTTCTTCACGTGAGCGAAGTTTATGTGAATATGAGAGTGTTCGAATGAGAAATACATTCAAAATACGCATCTTTCATCAATTCAAACATTTTACACCTTTCAATTCGTAGAATAATTGAACAAAATGTCGTTTATCTCCAGCATGTATCATTAATGATATAAATGAAGCAACATCAGGTATAATAATTTTGATATTTTTTAAAGGGCAGTACATTCATTTAGTTCTATACGAGAATATTTTCCGCCTATTCCTATCGTATATTATTGAATTTTGCTTAAATGATTTGTGCCTTATTTCCTAGACCGCATGAGCATGAACTGCTGCATTCGTTGCGCTGAGTCGTGCATCGCTCGATGAAAGTTAGCATTGTTTAACCAAACCTAACTAATCAAGGCAACCTAATCTGCATAAAAAGGCCACACAAAAACCTCCTTGAAGCCTTCTGATATCAATGGTGAGCGTTCACAATTGAGGCGCTGACATTTAACACTCAGGATAAAATCAAATGCCAAAGGCCCCGATCGTCAAGTGTGTCAATTGATTGGGAAGTTCAAAGGTGGTGAGGCAGAGCAGTAATTTCGTCATCGTAAATCAACAGGTCAATAGCTATTAATAGAAAAAATCGATTACATGCGACGAAATTTAAGACATTTAGAGCTTCTTAGAAATTAAACGCGGCTCAAATTCGTAATAGAAAAATCAATTTCGTGAACATGTTGATGGATATGAGATAATGGCTATCTTGATCGTAAACCCTATTATGATCTTTAGTTCGGAGTTTTTTATTGACCAAATTTTTAAGACAGAAACAAAAGATTGAAGGCGGTGGCCGATCATTTGGCGTTATCGCAATTATTTTGGATGAATCTTGCTGAGGTAAGCTCCTAACCTTCATATTTAATTCAGGTGATTATAATCGATGATTGGAAAGTGGTGACAGCTGAACACAGCTCGTGCCCTTTGCCTTGCAGGACCTTTTAGTACGATTTAATGAAGCTTAGCTCTTCTTCGGTCGACAATGCCAGTTTTTTTCTTCTAATAATCTATGGTGAAAGAAGTTGAGATGTTGGTGAAATGGTGACATGAGCGCTAGGCTTGGGCAATTTTTTTCAAGTAACAAGCTTTTCATTGTAATTTTTCCTCAGATAATATTGTCTAAAATTATTCCAAATAATACAGTGGACATATCACTTCCCATAGTAATGTTTGAGGAGAACGGGAATCTTCTCATAAATAAATGAAAAAAAAAACAGAAGTAGTAAACTAAAGCTTGCAGTTGTTCAGGAATGAACTATCGGGTTCACCGATACCGAAATTCGGGTTTCGCACTCACCCTATGGCACTAACTAACTAGACCGTAGCTCGACCTTCACTTGTTCGCGCGTCAACCCGCATGAAAGTGAACGTAGTCTCCAGGCAACCACAAACGGCACAATTGCTCTCTTGTCATGAAGACCAACGTAATCGCAGTCGTCATGCCTTCGCAGCCCACTTTCATAACCCAGTTCACAATTGTAGGCTTTTCGTGGCCAATAAATTGTGTCATTCTCAGCGTTATATAGGCGTGCGTCTGTGAAATGTGAAGATGGCGTCGACTTTCAGCACACATCGACGCATAATACTATATAAATTGCAGAAGCCCTGTGGATGAAGCTAATGTAAACAGGCAATTCAAAATTAATCTAGAAAACGCAACTTATTTCGTATTGGACATTCATTTATTTAATGGTTCATTCTCAAAATCGCAATTTTCTTGCCTGTTTCTATTTGAAGGGTCATTATTTTTAACGTCGACGATCAACTAGTTATCACCTGAGTCAGTAGATAACTAGTTTAATCAGAGATAGTTTAATACTCATTTGATGATAAATAATAATGATGGCTCGTTAAAAAGTGGAATTTTTATGTTGAGTTATTTACTAACAACAAATTTACAAAATAATCATTAATAATAAGTTAGACATAAGTTGTAAGAAATAATAAGCATTGTTAGTAAAACAATTCTATTTTAAGAATGAATTGGGATGTCAGGAGTTGAAACAGACCAACCTCGAACCTTGTAACAAACGCGTTTCTTTCCTTCCTAAACTTTAGACTTCCCACGAATGAAGCAGCAAGATTACTTATCGCTAATATAAAACGTATTTCTCTGGGTAGTGGGTAAGCTTTAGTTACATCATTTTACATGCATATCTCATCATCAAAACAGGACAACAGATTATTCAGTTCACAGAAGGCTCAAGATAGCCGGGAAATAACAGGTGTTGCAATAAGTAACATGACGAACATCGCGTTACATATATTCGTCTGAGACAATTACCATAACGAAATACATCGATGATCAAAGGGAGCCGTAGCGCTGCTGGGCCATGGTTCACGTGTTTTTCACTTCCCGTGTTACCATTCTATTATCTTGTCCTTCAAGTGGCCTTATAAAACCAATATTTGGTTGCTATTGTTCTTAACATTAATATTTCTAAATTTTCCCACGGATTCATTTACTGTACTCTGCATTCCGGGGTCCACATTACAATATAATAAGATGGCCTGTGTTACGAGGAAGTAGATTATATTACATTTATTTAAGATTGAGGATTGTTTGAGTTATGTTAACTAAACCACTCATACTCGTAATTTGATTACGGTTTTTTATTTGATTAAATAAGCGATGCATAAGAGATATGTCATACCTTAAAAAATCTAACGGACATGTTATCAAAATGCTACAGGATTTCTAAGAACAAATCATCAAAATTGACAGAGAGCTATATTGCCTGGTTGTTATGAACTCCTGCTCTTCTTCACAAAGCGCACGCTCATCTATCTCAACATCAGAAATAGAAACATACGTGACGTCACGCTCGGAAAATGAACTCACCTTCATGTTAGCAAATTAGGACGTCAAGAGATCGCTTCACAAGAAAATATATCGTATCGTATGCACTAGCGTAGCGGAAGTTCGACAGAGAATGACGCAAGAGAGAGCGGAACATTCTTCTTATACCCCGAGCTAGCAGGCCCGACCGAGCCTACCTTACTACGGGTTGGCGGTCTTCGCTCTTTGCACCGTCTGGTTGTAGCTGGCAGGTTTCAAAACGATGCTTACTTTTCGGTATCCATGATACATTTTCACGATTTGCGTTCAGTCCAACCATGGATTAGTTGTCTCAGTATTCCAAGTACAGTATACGTTTTTTGATAATTATAAAAATTTATTAAGAGGATTTGAGTTTTGGCATCTGAGTGCTAGTTATACGAATAAGTTTCCTTACCAGTCACGCGAATGCTCCCAATTAGCAGGATTAAAACTAAGTTCATGTTATATACGAGTTTTGATGAAATACCGGTTGTTATCCAATGTCTCGAGGACGTAATGACCAATCGAGCGAGAATTATTATAATTAATTTGAACGAATATCTCCGGCGGGAAAATGAATTTAAAAATTTCATAGAGCAAGAAGTTCAAGGGGGAAAATCAGATCCTAGTCTATGGTGCCAGCGGGAGTGATGGCCAACTCGTAACTTGGGTTCCATGGCTGAACGGATTGACCTTTTCCCTTAGATTTAACCTCGCACGCGGCTAAAGTATAGGTCAATGTGCGGTATTTATATCTCATTTGATTAGAACACGCCATATATTAGAGTTGTGTCGAGCCTTGAGCTGATGACCTTATGGTTCCACAACCATCATTAACGTGTAACCTGGTAGCAGGCAGAGACAAAAACGTCAAAGCTAGTAGAAAAAGGCAATAAACAAATAAAATTGTTTTCTTAGCTGTGTCAATTCTTACTATAAGGCCTCAATCAATCACGTTTTTATGTGATGTGGTGGTGATTGGCGACACGAATTGGTAGGATTCTTCGAAAGAAAGCCTTATCCGTGTCACACGAATGTCTGATGAGTGCAATTTAGACAAGGATTAAACGCTAGATTGTGTTCGCTGTCGACGATAATAGAAGTTAGTAGTAACTGTCCTTTATGGAATAGAATAGAAATGTCGGCACTGAAGAAATAGGCCCATTGCCTGTTATGTATTTGTCAAAGTTGGTTTGGACAATTTTTAGTATGTTTGAAGCCTGTTGTCGTAAATATCTAGGGGATAATCACGATACTTAGCTTTAAGGATAATACCTAGGCCAGAAAATTTATAATTAATGGGAAAATAGTGAGGCATTGCGAAACTGGGGGGAAGGTACTGGCACAAAAATTAAAATTTGATTAATTATTAATAAATGGAGGGATTATCAATCAGCAAGCATTTCATTTGATAAATTCGTACAAGGATTTTTCAATAGAGAATGTATTTTTAGCGCATTTTCTCATTTATGGAAAAAATGCACTATTGTGCTCGCCATGTCCGTCCGTCCGTCTGTCTGTCTGTCTGTCTGTCCGTCTGTCCGTGACCTCAAGTTTTCGTCGACGAAAAAATGCGCTCTCTGTCACTCACTGCAGTGAGTACTGAGTTATATTTTTTAGCTTTGTGGGGAGTGCATGATATGACCAGCTCTTTGTGCAGAGTTGGACTAATTAATTTGCTCCGCTCTATGTGTAGAGTTGGACTGATTCACATGCCAATTTTCTTAGCGGTGCCAATTAGGCCAACTCTTTGTGCAAAGTTGGCCTAATTCATCTGCTCCGCTCTTTACGTGGAGTCAGACTAATTCGCCTGGTCAGCGTTTGTGCAGAATTGGACCAATTTACCTTCTCAGTGTTTGTGCAGAGTTGGCCTAATTCGCCTGCTCAGCACTTTGTGCAGAGTTGGACTATTTCATCTGCTCAGCTTTTTGTGCAGAGTTGGACTAATTCATCTGCTCAGCTTTTCGTATTAAGAAGAACTAATTCATAACCTATAGGTTGAAATCACGTTGCAAAGGTTAAGGAAAACTTCAGTTCAAATGATAATGTGTTTTTCAGTTATTCGCGCTGTGCATTGCACAGATGGTACGGTGGGCAGTCTGCGTACATTTCTGGCTTTAGATCAACGAAAAGCGTGACGCCGTCCAAACAGGTCGTCGTGGGCGCTAGTTTAGCGACATATTCTGCATCTCTGACAATCCAGGCTACTTCGCAGCCACACAGCAGCGGGTTATCTGGCACAAAATAATGGTTTCAAAGAATTATTTATTAAAATTTGAAATATGCAATATGTTCATTTTGAGATCTTTTTATTTTCCCGGTATTCGTTCAATCTGCATGTTAATGGGATATTTCACTAATTAGTGTAGGTGAAGAGTGATTAATGATTGAGCTGAACTATTCAATTCGTAAAAACTTAATTTAAATTACAAGTCAGGTCGATGGATCCGTCTCCAAGTGCCGAGAAAGTGGGCTTCCAGACGTCTTCTTCAAGACAGTCGAGTAGATTGTGTCGCAGATCCAGTTTACCATTCGCAACAACCTCTGCGGTATAGAAACATTATGAATATAATCATGCAGTTCATTTCTCAAGGTTGGTGTTGCTAATTTATAATTCCAAAAATTTGCCGCTATTTTAATTGCAAATGATGAGTTAGACAAAAATGTTTTAAATGAACTCTGTTTTCATTTTTCCCTCAAGTAACTTTGATGGAAATTTAACAGCCACTGAAGAAATTCAGTAGGCTAGCGATTTCTTTGAGCACCAATAAGACAAGCACCAATATAAGCAATGCGCGTTGCGGTTTGAACGAAAGATTAAACTTGGTTGCATTTTAAATAAACGTCGGCTTGGCGACTTTCATAATCTCTGCAACACAAATTCTATATCCGTAACACAAATTCCATATCAATCGAAAAAGAATGTTAGCTACAATAAGAGAAGGTCCGTATGTTATTTGACCAAAAATATTTCAAGTTTTCATTATGTGCCATTTTTCCGCAATCGTGGGGATGTTGAATATAAATACTTACGGTTGATGAAGAGCCTATGTACTGTAGTTATTTGGTTGTTTGAAAAATCCACAGTTTCCAAAACTGACATAGTGCCGGTGTCGATCACTTCACTTTGTAGTTCCGTTAAACTATTAGAAGAAAAGTCCAAAGATTTCAATTGCGAGAGACCGTCGAACATGCTGACGCTATCTTCGGTGATCAGAGGGATATCGATGAGACTTACGTTGCTCATATGCAGGGAAACTAGAGTAGGAATTTGGCTAACCATTAGTTTGTCGAAAAGAATCTTGGGATTGTTGGACAAATAGAAGTGCTTCAAAGATGCCGAGGTGAGCTGTGGAATCTCTGTTGATTCGTCAAGATCAAGTGCATTAGATTGCAAATTCAGTGTTTCAAGAACCTTGAAAGAAGCAAGCACTTCAAATCCAAATGAATTGATTTTGTTTGAACTTAGATCCAAACTTATCAAGGTTTCTTCGGACTTAGTGAATGCATCGTCTTCGACAGTAGTTATTTTAGTGCCATGTATCTCCACGTCCACAAAACTGATTGGACTGAAAATTTCTGGGGTTAAAGTTTGTAAGGAGCAACTAGAGCATCCACTGTGATCAATAGTTAGTTTGTTGAATTTATAAAAGGGAAATTGAGCCCTCTTAAAAGCCAGTGCCAGTTCATCATGGTTTTTGACAGCGGAACAGTCAGCATTGAGAAGCATATCAGTGGTTTCTGTGCACACGCATGGCAAGAATTCTGTATCTAGCGGGCAAGGATAATTCTTGGTCTCTGTGTTGCCATTAGCGTTTCTGAAGACTGAGACACAGTGAAGAAAAAGCAACAAAAATTTCCATTTACTGCTATCCATCTTGACGATGCTGAGTTGTTCCCACAGCGACGATGGGTGCAATGAAGCGCTCTCTCCCTGATTGTTTGTTTAACCTCTTTGCTTGGAGCACAAGGTGGTTTCTCACGAGCTCTCATGCTGGCCGATAGTAACGGGGCTGTTCACCAGCCACGCGATCTCACAGCCACACAGGATTGGATTAACTGTAATGGAGTTGGTTATAACTCCAGTAAATATATTGAAACTAATGCACTTTATATAAAGAAGACATGGGTATGAATCCTGCTCTCTTCAGGTTCAAGTGGCGCACTCAACTTGGTTACTTTATTTTCGGAATTTTTTGGACTGTGACCGCCGTGAGGCGGGGCTGTTGACCAGCCACGCAATCTCACAGCCACACAGGATTGGATTAACTGTAATGAGGTTGGTTATAACGCCGGTAAATATCTTGAAACTAATGCACTTTATATAAAGAAGAAATAGATAACTTTAACTGAATAGATGGGGCTAAATGGTGGGGCATAGAACAAACCTTTCAGCTTAATAGCGATCGGGGGTTATGATTAATCGAATAAGGTTACCATAACAATATGCAGTGAACGGCGCCAGACAGTCAATAAAAATGTCGCCATTACTCATCTATTTAATGAAAATGATGTTGTAATGTAATGTATTACATCATTATATAATACAAATGCGAGAAATACAAGAAAATACAGAGGAATGCGCTTACGTGATCTACATTCTAGAGGTAAAATTTTTTATCTCTCGATCGTACGTGTTGTGATTTTAAAATAATGTAATCTTAACTAAATCAATCTGTTCACAATAAAATTAAATTACATCACTACAGAGCAGAAATTTTTATAAACGGAATATTGTAAAATTACGTGAAATTTATTATCATTCATTGTTTCATACGTGCACTTCTTTCTTACCTATATGTATGCGATGGTAGTAATTGTGTGTTAAACTTACCGGATAAATCGATGGAGTTCTCTTGAGGAAGTTCAGCGAAAACGTTCTCCCAGATTTCTTGATCCATGCGAGCAATTGAGTTGTGTGACATGTTCAAGGTTGAGGTGACATCACTAGAGAAGCCTGTTAGGGTAAATTGTTCATAAGTAAATTTTCTCTAGAAATAGGCCCAGAAAACGTTCTAGCTTGCAAGTTTCTCTTGAAAAAACACAGCTGAACAGAATCAATTTTAAGCGCATAATGGCTATTTTTCTCAAACTTTTAATTTAAGAACATCCAGTATATATCCGCCCATTATAGCCTTAATTCAATTGGTAGATTTGAGTCGAGTCGGCATTGTGAGATTAAAAGTAAATGCAAAATAAGAAACTATCGTACCTCTGAAGACTTTTTTAATTCTAATACGAACCTGTAATGAAGTAAGGGTGCAGAATACTGATGTCGTTGTGAGATAAATCTACATTGATGAAAGTCTTCGCGTCAGACACGATGGAAAAAGACTCAATCTCGGTAATGGCGTTGACTCCGAAGTCCAAGACTGCAATGTCTTGCAGTCCTGAAAACATGCTTATGGGAAACAAATCAAAAAGAGGAACTTCAGGGATCTTGCTATTCCTCAAGTACAATTTTTGAATAAGAGGGCAGTTTGTGACAAGTCCAGGAGAAATATCAAGCTTGTCCTGAGATGACAATCGTAAGGTACTCAACGTCGGAGAGATGATTTCAGGAATTGGATGGTCTGCATTGAAGTGATTGTTCGCGAGATTGAGAGATGTAAGGGCTGTAAAATCTCCCAAAGACTCAAATGGGAAGGAGTAAATTTGGTTGGCATGAAAGTCCAAAACTCTCAACAAGTCATGTGAAGCACTTAATGCATTTTCTTCAACAACCTCTATTTTAGTTCCTGTAATTGTTACATGTTCAAAGCTCACACTCCCGAATGTATCGGCAAGCAAGGTTGTCAGGGAACAAGATTCACATGAAGTATGATCGATCGTCAACGATTTAAATTCGAGGAAAGGAAAATCTGCCGTGAAAGCTTTATTCAACTCCTGAATATTCGTGGCATCAGAACAGTCCATGAAGAGGTTGAAATCTTGATCGAAGGTGCAGACGCAAGGCATGATGTCTGCATCAACGGGGCACGGCCATTCTTTAGTTTGAGCTCCATCGCTTGTAACCAATAATTGTCGACCAAACACAAAGTGAATTGAGATGCAAACAACACTCAGGCGCCACACCACTGATGCCCTCATCATGGCAAATGCTCCACACAAGAAAGAGGCTTTTATAAAAATGTTTCCTTACTTTGAGAACATTATTGCCGGTTCTTAGTTGGCCTTGGAGGGCAGCAGATGCTGGTTTCCCTGGGCAACGCATCAAACAAGTCAGCGACGATTGTTGTAGATAATGTTTTACAGAAACAACCTCACATGGTTCTTGAGAGATAACACTTGTTCTGTCTGAATGCGTCTACTTGAACAAGATGGAAGGGAATAATTTTTTCTGATGGTTAATTTCTCTGTGATATTTTATTGTTGCCACTCTGATTTTTCAACGTAGAAGCTGTGTTGAACTGAGCTTGCTCAAATAAATTAATTTTCTATCACAATTGGGAAATTGGACACTGAATAACAACTTTGATCTTCCTTATTGAATTCGTCATAGGCGTGAAGGCCGTCTAGCTAAATAGCTTACTCATAGTCATTAAATATTTTATGATTGCTTGACTCATTTATCTTGTTTCAACTGCCATTGTTGCAATAAAACACAATTTTTTTTTCTCCTCATATAAAGCGCGAATGATGAATGCATCGAAAGAACGAATTTATATTTTTTACTACCGTAATCAAAAGTAAAATATCCTTAGCATGAGCACTTCAAACGGTATCAACTTTTACGTTTTCAAGTATTCTATTGCGGTAGTCGTTTCGTCTAAAAAATATGAAATGAACGAAATAAAATATGAGAAGCAGAAGAAAGTCAATAAAAACAAAAACGATTTATTCATGCATTTATTTATTTTGCGACATTTCAATAGTAGGTATCGTAAAATTTTTTTCACGAGTATAACGGTTCTATGACCGACGCATCTTAATAGCTCTCATTTCGTAGTCATTCGACAGTAAACACTGTGTGTGTGATGTGTACGTATATTAATGACACTATTGAACCTTTGATAAATACTACTCTAGAGTATTGATTACTCACTTCTCGGTTATTGCGTAAGTTGGAAATCCATTCAAATTTTATACAAACATTCAATTCCATATTTGGTATATTTTTCCATATTTAAACCGTGGGGAACAATAAAACAAAATTTCAATCCTGCTTTGAAGCAAGGTATGTATTGAAAGACAACCTCATTTCTTACAAAGCTATTGAGTTGGACCGATATAAAATTTCGCATGTAATTAACAATGAATATTATTCCAGCAATACATCAAAACATTGTGAATTCATTAGCAGTCGACAAAAGCGGCCGGTGGAAGGTTTTTGACGACCTGGACGCCGTCTTCACACAGCGTCGTTTCCGTGAGGGACTTTTTCGAGGAGCTGTTCACCAGCCACGCGATCTCACAGCCACACAGGATTGGGTTCTCTGGAAATGTGCATTCATTTTAATGTATTAGGTAAGTAGGAAGAAACTTCTATTTTGGATTTGTTTTAACGTGCGTAATTGTTTTGAGATACATATATCCGCACATGTAAAGGAACTTGCGCTACGAGTCTTTTAATGTTCTTGAAATGACCAAGTTTGATTTGAAAACCCATTGAAAGATTAAAACATTATTGGCGCGAAATTCATAAATTCTGGTAGAAGCTCAAGTTCTGATTAGAAGAAAGTTACTTACGCGAAAGGTCAACGGAATTTTCTACTGGAAGTTCTTCAAAAATCGCAGCCCAGACTTTCTCGTCCAGGAAACTGATTTTGTTGTCTGCCATGAGGAGCGTGTTGCCGGTAGCAGACGAGAACCCTGAGAGTTAAGAACTTCATATTAATTTTGAGCCTGAATGTATAATTAATTATTAATTGCATTACACAGGGCATAAGACAACAAAATGAAGTGGCACTTGGTGACGTTCACACCATATGATTCAGTGATTATAAGTTAGATATAATCTAATAATTTAAATTCTCCAAAGATTCAAGTTTTGTGAAACTATATGGAGAACAATGAGGAATAGGAGCATTGCCATTAATGAAGAGACTTAATCCATGTAAACTACGTTAAGATACGAGTATATTCATGAAATTTTACTATTTTGACTCAGAATAACTTTAAACCTTGAAGTTGATGAAACGAACCTGTAACAAAAGTCGGATGCACAATGCTGATGTCATTGTGGGAGAAGTCCACTTTGGTGAGCGTATCAGTTTCAGAAACAATGGAGTTTGTCTGTATTTCCGTGATGGCGTTGCCAGCGAAGTCGATGGTATGGACGTTGGTTAGTCCGTTGAACATGCTTATGGGACTTGTATCGAAGAGGGGCACGCTTGGAATCTTTCCGTTTCTGAGAGACACTATGCGAATCTCTGGACAGTTTGTGACGAGGTCGGGAGTAATGACGAGTTCGTCATTGGTAGACAGATTCAGCTCCGTAAGTGTAGCAGAGACGATGCCAGGGATTGGGGTGTCGGCGTTGAATTTATTACCGTTAAGGCGAAGTTGCGTGAGAACTTTGAAGTCTCCCAATGATTCAAAAGGGAAGGCACTTATTTTATTTGAACTTAGCCTCAGATTCTTTAATGTTTCGTGGGAGGCGCTGAACGCTTGTTCTTCGACGGTCTGAAGATTTGTTCCAGTGATTGTGATGGTTTGGAAGCCAACACCTCCAAAGACATCAGCTGGAAGGGTGTTGAGGTTGCAGTCAGTGCATCCTGCGTGGTCAATCGTCAATGAAACAAAATTAACGAAGGGAAAGTCAGCCGTAAAAATTGTGGTCAATTCACCTGACGTCTTGACCAGAGAACATTCCATGAAAAGATTGAAATCATCATCGGTAGTACAAACGCAAGGGGCAATATCCGCGTCCACTGGGCATGGCCACTCTCTCGTCTGTATGCCATCTCGGAGCGCCGTATTCCGACCGGCAACAAGCGCGGCCAAAATGAAAGAAATACTCAATTTTAGAATTCCTGACGCCCCAATCATCTTGCCTGGTTTATTGCTGCCAAAGTGGAAGGACTCGTCTGGTTTTCTCATTTATAGTCGGAAAGTGCGTGGGAAATTTGCAGCAGATGTTGAAAATTCAGGTGGAAAATTTCCCATAGAGAACCAGTTTGTCAAGGTCTAGGCTTGTGTCCGCGCAAAACGCAGTGCACATTTTTATTGATTCGCTTTGTGCATTCAAAAAAACTTATTCACGAGTATCTTTTTAGTTATAAGACATAGGCTTATGTAATTTCGTCAATAGGAAGATAATGAACGACAAGAAAATTATTTTCAAATTATTGATGCGGTTATAATTACGTCAATCTCCTATGTCGCTTATGATCGGAGGAAAAAGAAAAAAATACGTAGTTTAATGTTTTCAACATTAGTCTTCAATTTTTACTGTGATCCCCCGATCATAGTAGTTATATTTAGTTATTATCATCTCCGTTCTATTTGTGGATACAAGGTCAGTGAGTTGAACTCTGCTCTGTAACCATGGGGTCTTGTCTCGCGCAATCTGCTCACTCTGATAAGGAAGCATGGCGATTTATTTGATGGCTAAGACATGGAAAATTTATATATTTGCATCAGTATTTCTCAATTCCTTATCATTATATTGATATCGGTAGATAATGATTATCTACCGATATCAATATATTGATATCGGTAGTATTGATATCGGTAGAGGAATCCGTTATCTGTAAAATTATTCCAATATCAATCAAAAGAATTACAAATAAACCAAAGTTCTTTGACGGATTTTGCATTGGTACATTCGTTATGTATGAAGTATTTCTGAATGTGTGCTTATTTGAATTTTTAGTTTTAAAGCGCAATGTATCTAGAGAAAGTATGAATCAACAGATGCTATTGTGTGTGCATAATATCAAAACAAATTAACGAAGTAGTCCACTAACGCGCCATCAACAGAATAGAGTTGCTTTAAATTATTTTCTTTCCTAATTTATTATTGTTAGCCATCGAAATTTTCTATACGTTTAAAAAACGGTGATATTCCATGATAAACTTAAAAATGAGCACATTGCCCTCCCTTCCTGGTATAGAATTGATATCTTGATTTGACTTTTTGCAGTATTTCTTATGATGAGAAAAAGAGTAAATAATCCAGCATCTTACTTAATAATTGATAAGAAACCGGCTGACAGAACGACCATGGGCCTATGGGCCTATTTCTTCAACGCCGACACTTCTATTCTATACCTAAACCTTTTAAACTTAACGGTTTCTGGTGTCTTTACTCCTCTCATTCCTCTCTAACACTCAAAATGTTTCTATAACAGACAACTTAAAACAGACACAATTCGTAGGCAAATTCTCACATATACAATTGGTAGTCAACTAGATACAGACGCCAATGGTAGAAAACTTGCCACAAGACAAAAGTTGACGTTTCTTACATCCAATTGGCTTCACATGTTCACGCAAAATACCAAAAAAGTATGGCTAAAAATTTTTGTTTAATTTATTTAATTTTTTTTGAAGATTCACGTATCATCGATACATTTCCACTTATAATCGTCTATCCTAACATAACATAACATAACATAACATAACATAACATAACATAACATAACATAACATAACATAACATAACATAACATAACATAACATAACATAACATGGCCTGATGTGGCCTGTCGCCGATTCTTGAACTTTTCGTGACTTGTTCACAGAAGATCTAAAATAGTGTCATTTGACCGGATCTTTTCAAGACTGACGATAGTTTGAAATAGCTACTAGACTTCCAGTACCGGGTTCGATATGGTGCTAGGCATTTCAAGTCTGAACATATATTTTTCCATAGCTTTATCTAGTCTGTTCTTGAAAGCATTTGTTCAATCCATACCACATAATCGTAGTATTAAGTCATTCATCGTTTATTGCGGAATACGTAGAACTTCTCACTCTTGACATCATTACTGCCCGAAGGCTGGCTCGGCGGGAACGCGTAAGACTGACAGCTCTAGGTAATTTGTACCCCATTTGATAATTTACATTACATTGTTAGTATAATATAATAATAATATTATTTATTTATTAATAATTATGTTAGTTTGGCGAACAAAATTGAAGAAACAACTGATGGTTTAACTAATTTCTTGTCGCGTATACGTGTTCTCTTTATTTTAATTCATCAAATGGACGCATCAGAGCAGGTTTAGTTTAGCTTTTAAAATCGACATTCGCTGTCACTCGCCCCTCTCACCGAATAAGCTGTGAGTGAAAAAACTTCTTCAAAGCCTGATTCGAATGAATTTAATTTATTTTTAGGCCTCAAACGAGACAAGTCGAGCGATTGATCAGCTAAAAAAAAAAAAGAAGATCGCTACTTCCATTTTTTCCGTTATCGGACCAGACCTGTGATAAACAGCGAGGTTTCGTCACGTCTTGTATACATCATGATAACTTCTTGTGGTCAGGCACCGCCATTGAAGAGCTCAGGCCTATGTAGGCCTATAGACCATGAGACTTTTCTAATCCACTTGTTACCTGAAGCGGGCTAAAGATTTTCTGTTTTAGTTTTTGAACAGGCATTTCTCAAGGATTATATGGAATAATTATCGTTGACTTCACAATAATTTCCTAATTGAAAATCACTCATCCAACCTAAACCGAAACGGAGCTTTGTATATCCATCTATTTACATGTTATATAAAAAAAATATATTTTGAACGATAGTGCGGCCTCGTAACGTATTTTTGAAGGAATATAGCGTAACGTTGTATCTTGTGACGTTATTGTGCTGGAATATAACGTAACGTTGCATCTTGTGACGTTTTTATGAGGGAATATAACGTAACGTTGCATCTTGTGACGTTTTTTGTAAGGAAATATAACGTAAAGTTGTATCTTGAGACGTTTTTGTGAGGGAATATAACGTAACGTTGTATATTGAGACGTTTTTGTGTGCGAATATAACGTAACGTTGTATCAGTCTCTTATACACATCTAGATGTGTATAAGAGACAGAAAAGAATGNTTAAAATCATCTCATCTTATTTAAAATCATCTCATCTTATTTAAAATCCTCTCATCTTATTTAAAATCATCTCATCTTATTTAAAATCATCTCATCTTATTTAAAATCCTCTCATCTTATTTAAAATCATCTCATTTTATTTAAAATCATCTCATTTTAATTAAAATCCTCTCATCTTATTCAAAATCATCTCATTTTAATTAAAATCATCTCATCTTATTCAAAATCATCTCATTTTAATTAAAATCATCTCATCTTATTCAAAGTCATCTCATTTTAATTATAATCATCTCATCTTATTTAAAATCCTCTCATCTTATTTAAAATCATCTCATTTTAATTAAAATCCTCTCATCTTATTTAAAATCAATATTGTGCGCGGGATCATTCAGGCGATTGATTGACAAAGCGATCACAACTCAATGCTAAACACGACTGGAAAATTTCACAAAAAAATTTTAATCGTGATTCGCCCAAAATCCTAAGAGTTTACTTAACGAATTGACCATCACATTGTAGGAGCTGGTAACACCTGCATGTACTTATTTTCTTCTTTTTTCCAACAAAATTAATGAACATAAATTTTCTACAATTCGAAAATGTAATAATTTGTACTTGTTACATACGGTACTAACAAAATTGACTATGATAGTGAGTTTATTTATATGTTGACTGTGATTTACTTGTCATGCAAACTATATGGTGAAAAGACATGGATTTAAAACGAAAAATTAAAAGTAGATCTTTTATTTTGAAAGCTTACATTATATACATAAATATTGTACGAAATTTGTCTGTCATTTGAATACAATATTACTGACGTCACATCATATTATACGGATATTATTCTTGATTTTCGATACCCATTGATTCAGCGCAGGTAGCTGATGCTGCACCATCTTCCCCGGCTGCGGGGGCTTGCAACGCGCGCTGGTCATCAAGTTTTATCACAGGTAGCTGGTACTCGCACCATCTCCCTCTTGCAGCGCGTGCTGGTCATCAAGTTTTACTGACGTCACATCATATTATACGGATATTATTCTTGATTTTCGATACCCATTGATTNGGGCAAGACGAACTGCACGTAAAAAAGAACGCAATATTTTAGCTTCGTTGTGTCAATGTTTTGAAACCGTAGGGAAATTAACCCTGGAAAATAGTTCTTCTTAACCTAAGGCTAGATTTATGATGTTCCTAGTGTGATAACCATGTAGTACGTTTCAAATAATGACTGATTTAAAAAAAAGGACTTCAAAGTATTGATTAAATTACCAAAGATTTTTGAAATATATTTTCAAATAATATCATCAAAAGTACATACGAGTAGAACAAAATCATTCTCCGTAGAATAGGCTTCCAGGATATGACTGACAAACACTAATAATATTTATAACAAAAACCTGTAAAGCATATCGAATTATACGAGAGCGTGCGTATACTCACTTGTTTTCCATCCACCGCACTATGCATGAGTGGCAGAAGAGATGCTTGCAGCTGGAAAACATGACGAAATTCTCTTCTTCTGTAATGTTGATATCCAAACACACGGGACAAGCTTTGTCTTCTTCAGATTGTGGGAGTATATCCTGCAGGGAGCGTTTGTCCAGAAGCGGGGACCACAGTTCGTGGTGAGTGTTGCCGAGGATGACTCCAGCCTTGACGACGTTATCGTACATCGAGAAAAGACTCCGGATAATTTCACTGAGTCTAGATTCACGATTTAGGCCTGTTCGCTTCAGGGATATGGAGTCTTCAATTTCACAGACCATCCCTCGAACGGAGGCCTCCATCCTGTTGAAGTAGTCGACAAAGTCGACGTTGTTGTGTTGTCCGTATTTGGTAGGAGAAATACAGTCGATGATGCTTATAATTTCAGAGAATAGAATGTCTACAGTTGTAGGTGTCATATCTTCTTTAACATTAAGATCTGCCCAGACTGCAGAGTCAAGAAAAATAGGAGTTAGAACAAGCACGAGTTCTTCAAAAAGTAAATGCGATGGCTGCTGCAGCGCTCTCAAGTGGAGGGAACAAATGTCGTTCAGTATTTCCATTTCCCAATCAGAAAAATTATGCTCCAAGTTGTCTGAGTTCCAAACCAGAGTTTGTTCACCTTCAGTGGATGAAATTAGGGAGTGAACATCATGTCTGTTTGCCATGTCGGTAACGGTAAAAGGTAGCAGCCAAAGGAACACTAGGAGGAAGAGCTTCTTCTATGTTGAAGAAATATTTAGTAATCGAATTATTGCAGCGATTATTTTGACTTGCTTTAAATTTCAGCTTTAAACTAACGAAACTGATGCGTGTTCTAAACTAACACACCGGGCAAGCGTTAACGATGAAAGAGCAGCATTTACTATGAGCACGTTGTCGTTGTGCAGCACTGGAACAAACTGACTGCCTTCTCGCCGCGGGTGCCCATTTTATACCCCACCAGGTACGTGCTTAACAAAGAGATCGTCACAAAAGATAAAGGTCACCTAATGATCCGGCTTCTCGTGTTACACTCAGGGATCCTTCTGACCGGCGCAGATGATCTCATTATTTACTGATAGAAATTCCGAGCCTTGTTTGCGGCCGACATCTGAAAGAATGCGTAAACCGAGGAAAAGAAAGTATGAAGATAAGGCGTTGATTGCGTTCTTGTTTATAAAGGCAAATAACGAGATAATTCGTAAATTGCGTTCTCATATATTAACAACTGACGAGATAACTCGGAGATTGCTTTCCTACTTGTTATCAATACTCAGTACTTGCTAAACTCGTAAAATCCACTCCAACGGTCTGGAAAATAAAAACGAATTGCTATATTTGTTAATGAGGAAGTTCAGTTATCTTTGGCTATTCAAATGGAACGATAGTAATTCTCCTTAAAGTGACTCATGTTTTCAAGATTTCTCATATGTTTCTCTATGGTGGAAAATTCATGGAACCCCAGTTCTGATTTCTTTGAATTCTCAGGAGAATGGTATCAATTAATAAAAGTCAAGTACTTCTTTTTTTTATTTGCAGTTGGCCATTTATTATATCAACATATATGTATATTTTTTAAATTAGACTTTAGCACAATTAAAAATTCCCGTGCAATTATGTATGTATAATTAAGTAGGGCACAATCATAACGCAAATTAATCGTGGGATTATATATTTCGCGCATCATCAATTGAAATGCTGCTGGGTAATATCTTTGAATGTTTCCTGTAAATTAAATGTTTTATAATAATGCGATAGATGTTGCCTCGTGTTCTAGAACCCCATAAAATGCCATGAACATTTTGTTTGTTTATTTTTGGTGTTCTAGTTTGATTGGAGCAAAATGTTTGCCTCTCATAAATTGAGAATTAAGGAATGTAAGGCAAAGAAGTTGTGATAGATGACGTGGCAGATGCATAAAGTTCTCAGTTTTCCCGAAAATTTTCTCGTAAAATTTGTCACAAACTCATAAACATGAAATTGTGGATCCCGGTTGTAGTCATTGGGGCTTATCAGCACATTTCTGTGCCGTTTTAAAAGAACTTTCCTTGAAAAACTGTTCTACTTTGTGACGGTTCAACAAAATGATCATGGGGATATCGAAGGGATGCTCAGCCACGAAAGTAACCTTCGATATCCCCATGAGGAAGGGATGCTCAGCCACGAAGGGATGCTCAGCCAATGCATTTTGAAACTCTTGCCATGAATTGTGGGGACTTCCTTAGCATATGCATCACGAATCGATCATAAAGGAAATATTTAGTTCTCGGACAAAAGTCCTGCATTCCTTAGGAGGGTGAAAAAATTATTGATGTGTAGAAAAGTGACCTGAGGCTGATGTATAATGAGGTCTGGGGCTTGAAACCTTTCTTCACATTTGCTCCAGCTTATATGCCCTGCCAGATCAACTTAATATGTACTGCTCACACTCTGGCTTCATAGTTAAGCTAGTGGACGCCACGCTGATCCTCCATATGAAAGGCAACTAATTCATGGCTTTAAATAGTAAATTATATTATAATAATTCAACAGAGATAAAGAAGCACAAATGATCCTTCTGTCCATAATTGTGTATATCACCGTCTTAACAGTTTTGACCGCGGTCCATCGGCCATGTCAGGGCAGAAAACTTGAACTTTCAACGGTTTCGACTACGATTGATATATTTAGTGTGATGTAGACGTTGTGTCCTGATAGATGTGATGAATGTGCTGGAATGAATTGGATTGAAGTTATGTTGCGGTAGATGTGATGAATGTGTTGGGATGTATGGATTGATGTTATGTTGCGATGGATGCTGTAATTTATAGGCTGGATTTGTTGTGGTGCACAGTATGGATGTGTTTGGTCAGGATATATTGTTTGTTACGATGTATGCAATGTATGTAGCCTCCACCTGGTACGTGCTTAACAAAAGACTCGTCACAAAAGACAAAGAATGACGCCCAATGTACCCCTGCATTGGGCGACCTTTGCGGTTTCCTTCTGACCGGAGCAGATGATTTCGTTCTTCCCAAAGGGAAATAACAAAATCCAATTATTTGGTGGCATAATATCCGAGAAAGAGAAGAATAATGGAAGTATAGAATTGAGCGGTCAAGGTTGGATTTGACACGGGATTTTTAATGAAAAAATTTGTCACTTTCGCGGATTAGAAATAATTGAAAAGCCGGATTGATGCAAGGAAGATAGATCATAGGGAAGTGTAGTTGTAGTTTCCTTAAAAACAATATTCACAACTATATACTAACTCACATTCAATAATTCGAATTGAAACATCAATCGGTATTATATCGATGTTAGATTCACTATATTTGAAATAAATGAAATACATTAATCGTTCTATAGACACAATAAATCATGGTTAGGTAAAAGGCACCTAGCATGATAAGCTCGTAGTACGATTCATTCTAAGTAAATTTTAAATTCAAATTTTTCGTTTTTCGATTTTTCCGGCCATGTTAAGAATTATTTTTAGTTCAAAATAACTGACGCTGGCAGTAGCGTCTTGTAGATGACGCACAGACTGAAATGCTGATCACACGAGCCAAGATGGCGTCATCGAAATAAAAAGTGGAATGTGATGAAGTGTCGAATCTGAGCGATCGCCGGATAATTCAGCAATTGAGCGGAAACGTCTTCCGTAAAACTCGAGGCGATAAGTGTTATAGGAACGCGACGGTTTCCCTTGCCGCAGCAACGGATAGGAATTTTACGTGCGATATGAAAATAAAATTGCGGAAACATCGATGGATTCCGCGGGCTTTGAGATATTGAGTGTGTGCCTCAGGTCTAATAAAGTCATAAAATTTGAGCACAGTTGAGAATTCAGAAATGAACGTATCACATAGAAGTGGTCATGAAAAATAAATTCAGAAATGAATGTATCATACAGAAGTGGTCATGAAAAGTAAATAGAACAGCTTTACAAATGTTTGAAAAAAGTTCTAAAACGTTGTTTCTTTGGTTTGATCCCATTTCGATTTTACACTGTGCATCGAAACTCTTGACAGCATTTGTAAATCGTATTGACAACACATATTTAATATTTATTTTCTATTAATTAAGTCATAGTACACACCCTTGTTGATCGTCTATTGTTAGGAAGCGACATCGTTGATCATAAGGTTAATCTGAAATTATTATTACCTTAACTCTTCTTCAGTGAATACTTCCTGCGTAAGCCGTATTTCTACTCGTGATAAATTTGCTTTTCTTTAACTTAATTTGAGTTTGTGCGCGTGTGTTTTCATTATGACTTGTAACATTTAAATGCATGTTAGAACTTCTGCGTTCCCTTGTTAAACATCTTACTATACTGGCGTCACGCCAGTGGTTGAAACTCGTGTGGTTTTGGGCTTAAGATATTTTAGCCACTCGCCTTACAGTTGTGAATTAAGTTGCATACTTGCATCCGCTCAACTCATTTTATGTGCAAACAAACACTCCTTGAACTATATTCAATTCTTTCCTATCGTTCTGCAAAAGGTTCCGCAAAAGTAACAAATAGGCTGGGTATTTTAATTATTGTTCGGATTATATATTTTTTATTATCATGCTGGAATAACCTGAGTTATAACTTGAATTGATTACAAGATAGGCTCTATATTCTTATCTGCTTTTACCATATAATAAATCACCCAACTTCCGTAACGTAAAACTTGACCTACACACCTATCAGCTTGTTTCTCTATTGTAACCGGCTACAACATTATTTTGTTCTATTACCCGGGATCGAGAAAGAGAAACATATACAAGTTTGCAACAGTGACTCATTCCTTTACGATTCAACGAACAGCCAAAGCAATGCCATATCAATATTGTACGAAATCATACCATTCGTAACGATTTTTGCACAGTGTATACAGTGGGTCACCAACTGTACATCATTTCTATATTTCTGTATCACGCTTCTTTCTAAAGTTAGATTAGTTTCAATGCACGAACTCAGACTTTGTTGGCGATTCCGCTTCATCGGATTGACTTTGGTTCAAAAGTTTACTGAAAGTAAGTTTTGGGCCCCAATTTTCATCGCTCCACAAACTTCAAATGGACTTAACAGGTTCGGGAGCTGTTGCTCGATGCGGTCTTTCAAGACATTTAAATATTATTCCGAATTTTTCTTCTGCTGCCGTTAGATGAATGCTCTGCAGTAGACAGCATCGAGCTGCTAATAGCTTAGTATTATAGTGAGAACCACGCAAGCATCAAGACATTGCCAAATAATTATGAAAAAAATGCCAGCACGAAGTCGTCGGGAAAGGAGCCGAGGCACGGATGGAACACCCTGTATACAATAAGAATTGCATGCAGGGCAATAATAATATTGAATTAATTGCCTTTTCTTGCATACGTTATCCAGATTTTATTTTTCACAGAAGTTGGATAAATTTTGTGACTCTTATATGAAGTGTAGTGTCGCTCGCCAGCTGGTATTGTTTTTATTTATTTTAATTCGTAAAAAAATCCGATACTGGACATAACTCGGCATTTTGTGCGACTATTCACTACATAGAACCGTGAGAAATATTGAAGAATTTCACGAAATAAATATTGGGTCATGTTTAAGTGGATAATACGATCATTTTCTGATCCAATTCAATTATTGAAACTCGCATTATAGCAAATTAAGTTTAATGGCTGTCAATACCTCCCATTATGATGGTAACCCATTCAAATCCTGCCGATCCCGCTACGTAAGTAGTGATTGTCTGAGCTAACGTGTCTCCAGCTTTGTCACTACAGCGAAATGAACACCTGGGTCGGGTTCATACGTTTAGCTGAATTGTAATTGGTCTTAAGACTTC